GGTTGCTGAAGACCTATTCTACCCCGGATCTTCATCGGTCCGGTCGACATTGACTGGGATAACGTATATTGTAGACAGGGAAGCGAAATGAAGCTTTAGGGAATTTGAAAGAGTGAGTGAAAGCTATTTTAGTAAAATAACATCTGTTTAGCAGAAGCCGGAAATAAAATGTTTGTAACACAATCAGTGGTTGATCGAATGGGCAACGGCCTACGTCGTTTCTGTGTCAATTGTTTTACGTTGAGGTCTGGCCTGGCACGTGGTCCTGTGCACAGCGCACGGGTCACGCAGGTACAGTTAAGCAACTTCGAATTCGATCGCGGAGAGTAGGTGGATGGGTGACTTTGTTCCGCAGTTTGATTCCTGCGAGTTTTTAGAGCTTCGGTCTTGAGTCGGAGTCAGTATACTGTGTCTGAGTGGGGTATTCATGTTAAACTGCGGCATGGTATCTCAGTGAGCTAGCACTATAAATCGGCATCAGTCCGGACTAGTACAAGCAGCCACACACACACACGTGCATGCACGTCGCTATATAAGTGCAATAATCTTGGACGCGACGTTAAACCCAATTTCACCTCACCTCACCTGTTATGAACCATAAAAACTGCTTTTTGACCGTTTTTGGACACCGCTAAATGAAGATAATCATTTCAGGATCAGCTTCCATAAACGCGTCACAGGTTTCAGAACAACCTCTTCATCAAATTCCGCACACGATCTAACATATATATATATATATATATATATATATATATATATATATATATATATATATATAGCCACATACCATCTCCCATCCATCAATGTTGTCTGAGCCTCGTCATTCGCAATGCTGAGTTGCGCCCCTTAGCCATCCGTTCATCGCGGGTTTCAATGACACGCTCGATTATTCGAAAGATAAGTTTATTCAGCATCATGTACACAGTATCTCCTGCTTGTGGGTAAGTGACCTACACACGTTAGGGGCGGTTGGCGTTAGCCAAGTGGTCAAAGCGATCGCCTGTCACCTCGAAGGTTCGGTTCGATTCCACACATGGGTGCCGTGATGTGGCTGAACTCACTCACTTACTCACCTATTTGACGCTTTCCTCCATAGAATTTGTTCAACTGTCAACAGTGAGTGAGTGAGTGAGTGAGTTGGGTTTAACGCCGCTTTTAACATTATTCCAGTTATATCACGTATCAGGTATATGACACAGCTTAATGTGGGAGGAAAGCCCGAAGTGATGCAGGTCTCGGACGTTTACCACTTCGGTGAAACCCACGAGCACGGGTATGGTGCTGACACACCTAGAAACATAAACGTCGCTATATAAGTGCAATAATCTTGGACGCGACGTTAAACCCAATTTCACCTCACCTCACCTAGAAACATAATCGGGGCGAACCGGGATTCGAACCAACAATCATAGGTTTCTAGCGTGCCCAAGGGACGCAACTCTGCATAGCGAATTGCGGCTCCTTAGACGACTGGGCCACCCGTCACACCATGAACTGAACACACTGTTCATAGTACCCGTAAACTGTTCACATCGTTCGTGTATATGAACACGCTACATGTATGGCATGTAAGCATGAATGTAGACAAATCGTAGACATTGATACAGCGCCAGTGAGCAACTTTCGATGGATATTAGGCGCTTTACAAATCAATTATTATTATTATTATTATTAAATATATTTCCTCTCGCTAACCTTGACTTTAAGAGGTATCCACATGTAGACGGACAGTCTGTGGCCGAGCCTAGATATTGTCAGCTCTGTAATTCGTCAAGGAACAGCCTTGGACATGCATCCCCGTTATTATATACGCGTGTAAGTGGGTTAGACAAGGTGACGCTTACACAGCTGCTATCTACCGTTATTGTCATTAACGGCTGTTTATCACGCATACAGAACTAGGCGCAGGCAGTTGGTTGGCTTAATGGCACATGTCTGAGCGAACTGGTTGACATTGATATGCAGTTTGTGTTAACATACGACGAATATATAGAGAACACTTTACGCATTCATGTCAGGTACCGTTCAAATATTCTAAACGGCCTTCATTCCGCCACACTGAACCTTTTACATTAAATCAAATTGAGAGTCGCGAAAGTGGTCTGACTACGATCTGCAATGTAGTTTAAAAAACAATTTGCTATGGTTGGTTTGTTGGTTGGTTTGTTGTTTAACGCCGCACTCAGCAATATTCCAGCTATATGACGGCGGTCTGTAAATAATCGAGTCTGGACAAGACAATCCAGTGATTAATATCATGAGCATCGATCCACGAAATTGGATCGATGACATGCATCAACCAAGTCAGCGAGCATGACCACCCGATCCCGTTAGTCGTATTTTACGACAAGCATAGTCGCCTTGTACGGCAAGCATGGGTTGCTGAAGACCTATTCTACCCCGGATCTTCACGGGTCAATTTGATATGGATAAAATTCTACCATTAATGTCTGTAGAAGGTCTATGTATCATAGCTTTATTGAGATACCAATAATCCTCAAAATCACCGGGGGGCACGGGGGGCCCAGTCGTCTAAGGCGCCGCAATTCGCTGTGCAGAGTTGCGTCCCTTAGCACGCCAGAAACCTATGATTGTGGGCTCGAATCCCGGTTCGCCCCTATTATGTGTCTAGGTTTGTCAGCACCATACCCGTGCTCGTGGGTTTCACCGAAGTGGTAAACGTCTGAAACCTTTCCTCCCACATTAAGCTGACACGCTGCGATATAACTGGAATACTGGTAAAAGCGGCGTTAAACCCAACTCACTCACTCACTCACTCAACATCACCGAGAGTTCTTTTTTTCCGGTAAACAATCGTGCACATAAATAGCCACAAAGAAGTACTCAATATAGACGCAGCGCTGTGCTACATAATCAAAGCTGTGTGTATCGAATGCAAGGTGTTTCTGGATATCCTGTGGGACTTTTCAGGAATCCATCTGATAGTGTTTGCCACCGAGGCCACGAGAAACCTTTTCCTACGTCACCACAATACACAGGATCCATCTCAAAACCTACAGTGAAACTATTGCACAAACCAAGAACAAATACCCTACACCTTCTCATAATACACCATGTATATTTGACATACATATTTTGTATCACGTAAGCTGTTGTTAAAAGGAGGAAGAGAATTTAAGCTTTACCATTTACAAAAGAAGTACACTGGTGAAAATGCCCAAAATGCTTTTGAGACGTCCGCAGGTGTCAGTGCCAGGAGCTTTTACTCCACACATCGACAGACCACTCATAAGTTCATGGCCTTTCCTAAAACGCCCTGCCGCAGAGCCAAGGCATTTGTCTGTTTATTGACCTTGGCTTTTGTACGAAAAAAAGGTGGCCGAATTGGTGTAAACAGGTCATATTTGCGAAGAGAATTGTGTTTTTTCGTGTTTGAACACCAGGGATAAGAGAATGATCTCGGTCGATCTTTGACATTTACCATTCCGGCTTTCAATCTAACGAAACTTCGTGGTCGAATTTTCAATGTTTGAGCTCGCTCGGTTTCTGAGACGGTTGTTAAAACTGCCGTGCTGCCATTTCTCAGTGAAAGATTTTTGTAGAGAATCTTAGGATTTTTTTTCACATCTTACACACAAAGATGTTGATAGAAATACCAATTTAACCATCGTCAAACAAATTATGCCAGAGCGCGGTGTCCTATTCCATAATGAATAGTTTTTTGGTCACATTTTGGTTCTCTGATGGAATAATGAGCCGTATTTTATCTTTTTGAATAATAGTTTAAAGTGTCCTTCACATGGGCCATACAATATCACCCCACTTGCCCTCACGACAAACGTAACAGCTTGTCGTGTACTTTTTAACTCTTTGCCATGATCGGCATGGAATATTGCCAAAATAATATTTTAATACCACGTTTCCACACACACAATTGACTAGCATCGCAATTCAATTAGTATTTTTCCACTTCAATAAACAGATCACATCAGACGAAATGTGATATACTTAACTGCTATTATTATATAATTTTTTTACTGTCTCGCCCATTGGCTCCAATATGAAACTATTGGCAGAAACAGATGTTAAAGTTACGCAGTAGCGTATTAGTGAGCCCATTACGTATACCGGTATGCGTTGCTGCACGCAAGGCACGTGCTCAATACACACCTGGCAGCCACGTGAACGACACAGTCACAAGTGACCGCGCCAGTAATCCACGAGGGCTGCAACCAGTGCACAATATCTCCGACCTCCGTCATATTGAGCTTTTCGTCCACATTAAATAAATAACGTTAACGTCAGAGAATAATCAGTCTCGAATATGTGCGAAACGAAAGCTTCGAGACAACCGATATTTTTTGTCTCATGGAGACTTTGAGAGAATACATTTGAATCAACTCGCTTTATCGACACATTACACATTACTTTTGTGAATATTAATTCTGTCGTGTGAACGTTTTATTTCTTTGTAGCCTGAGGATAGACAATTTTTGGCAGCATTTTCGGTAACAGATTAATGCCCATCCCCAAAAATCCCATATCGTTAGAAACAGATTGAATTCTCACAATGAAATACAGGCGACTATGCTTGTCGTAAGAGGTGACTAACGGGATCGGGTGGTCAGGCTGGCTGACTTGGTTGAAGCATGTCATCCATCCCAATTGCGCGGATCGATGCTCATGATATCAACCGTTGGATTGTCTGGTCGAGTCTCGATTATTTACAGACCGCCGTCATATAGCTGGGATATTGTTGAGTGCGGCGTAAAACAATACACCAACCAAAACCAACCAACAAAGAAATACGTGGAGGCTGAAAGCAATTTAATACCTTCCCGTTAACATGAAACATACAATATACATGGATATAGGTCAAATTCTGTCTTATGTATGACCTGTTGTTTATATTATGAACTTTGGAAATAAGTACCTATTTTTGTTTGAGCATGTTCACGTTTTGATGTGTACGCCATATGTATGAGATGGGTAATTACGATGTTTTGATTGTTAGAAAAAAATGATCAATTTGTACTCACCGTTATTTACACGACACGTGCAGCAAGATCCCGTTTCGCACGTGTTTCAGAGGTCGCCTCACGATATCTGGACGGAAAGAGTAACGGTAACATGTGAGTGTTTATCTTGCGCAATCAGCTGCAATAGATTCATCAGAACTCATAGGTCCGAGAAGAAATTGTTTGTGATAATGCATTTCATGGTCTATATGGTTGCCAGCGACAGCGAAGGCCTAACGTTCGTGTTGATAGAACATAGTCAATACCACTGACGCTTGATGAGTGTATCAAGTGTGTACACCTTTGATGAGGTGAATAGGTACATGCATGTTATTCGACCCGAGGTCGCGGCGCAATGCTTGTTTCAATGCAGGAATGTTCTGAACAATATTCCCACTCCTAGGTACGAGGCGAATAGATTCATAGACCTTGATTGCATAACAATTACTAGAATACACTGACGGTGTACTTTTACCTGTAGTTTTGTATGGGTAGGGGTGGTTTAAGGTTGGGAGATATTTCATGTGGTGGTGTTGGAATGAGAGGGCGAGGGTACGATCATAGTGGCGGGGAGGGAGGGGTGGGCTGAGGTATTTGTTCGTGTCTGGAGGGGTTGGTTGGGTGAGTGTTTGTTATTCGAGAAATGGATGGGGTAGGATGGATGATGTATTTGTTCGTGTCTGGAGGGGTTGGTTGGGTGAGTGTTTGTTGTTCGAGAAATGGATGGGGTAGGATGGATGATGTATTTGTTCGTGTATGGAGGGGTTGGTTGGGTGAGTGTTTGTTGTTCGAGAAATGGATGGGGTAGGATGGATGATGTATTTGTTCGTGTATGGAGGGGTTGGTTGGATGAGGGTTTGCTGTTCGAGAAATGGATGGGGTAGGATGGATGATGTATTTGTTCGTGTATGGAGGGGTTGGTTGGGTGAGTGTTTGTTGTTCGAGAAATGGATGGGGTAGGATGGATGATGTATTTGTTCGTGTATGGAGGGGTTGGTTGGGTGAGTGTTTGTTGTTCGAGAAATGGATGGGGTAGGATGGATGATGTATTTGTTCGTGTATGGAGGGGTTGGTTGGATGAGTGTTTGTTGTTCGAGAAATGGATGGGGTAGGATGGATGATGTTTTTGTTCGTGTATGGAGGGGTTGGTTGGGTGAGTGTTTGTTGTTCGAGAAATGGATGGGGTAGGGTGGATGATGTATTTGTTCGTGTATGGAGGGGTTGGTTGGATGAGGGTTTGTTGTTCGAGAAATGCATGGATGGGGTAGGGTGATGTATCTGTTCGTGTATGGAGGGGATGGTTGGATGAGGGTTTGTTGTTCGAGAAATGGATAGGGTAGGATGATGTATCTGTTCGTGTTTGGAGGGGTTGGTTGGATGAGTGTTTGTTGTTCGAGAAATGGATGGAATAGGATGGATGATGTATTTGTTCGTGTCTTGAGGGGTTGGTTGGGTGAGGGTTTGTTGTTCGAGAAATGGATAGGGTAGGATGATGTATTTGTTCGTGTATGGGGGGGATGGTTGGGTGAGGGTTTGTTGTTCGGGAAATTGATGGAATAGGATGATGTATCTGTTCGCGTATGGAGTGGTTGGTTGGGTGAGGGTGCCTTGGGACACAGCATGAGGCATTGGGACACAGCAAGAGGCACTGGGACACAGCAAGAGACACTGGGACACAGCATGAGGCATTGGGACACAGCAAGAGGCACTGGGACACAGCAAGAGGCACTGGGACACAGCATGAGGCACTGGGACACATTACGGGGCATTGGGACACAGCATGAGGCACTGGGACATAGCATGGGGAATGGGGACACAGCATGAGGCACTGGGACACAGCACGGGGCATTGGGACACAACATGAGGCACTGAGACACAACATTGGGCATTGGGACACCGCAAGAGGCACTGAGACACAACATTGGGCATTGGGACACAGCATGAGGCACTGGGACAGAGCAGGGGGCACTGGGACAAAGCAGGGGGCACTGGGACACAGTATGAGGCATTGGAAAACAGCATCAGGCACTAGGACACGACATGAGGCATTGGGACACAGCATGAGGCACAGCATGGGGCACTGGGACACAGCATGGGGCACTGGGACACAGCAAGAGGCACTGGGACACAGCATGGGACACTGGGACACAGCAAGAGGCACTGGGACACAGCATGGGGCACTTGGACACAGCATGGGGCACTGGGACACAGCAAGAGGCACTGGGACACAGCATGGGGCCCTGGGACACCGCATGGGGCACTGGGACACAGCAAGAGGCACTGGGACACAGCATGGGACACAGCATGAGGCACAGCATGGGGCACTGGGACACATCATGGGGCACTGGGACACAGCAAGAGGCACTGGGACACAGCATGGGGCACTGGGACACAGCATGGGGCACTCGGACACAGCAAGAGGCACTGGGGCACAGCAAGAGGCACTGGGACACAGCATGGGACACAGCATGAGGCACAGCATGGGGCACTGGGACACAGCATGGGGCACTGGGACACAGCAAGATGCACTGGGACACATCATGGGGCACTGGGACACAGCAAGAGGCACTGGGACACATCATGGGGCACTTGGACACAGCATGGGGCACTGGGACACCGCATGGGGCACTGGGACACAGCAAGAGGCACTGGGACACAGCATGGGACACAGCATGAGGCACAGCATGGGGCACTGGGACACAGCAAGGGGCACTGGGACACAGCAAGAGGCACTGGGACACAGCATGGGGCACTGGGGCACAGCAAGAGGCACTGGGACACAGCATGGGACACAGCATGAGGCACAGCATGGGGCACTGGGACACAGCATGGGGCACTGGGACACAGCAAGAGGCACTGGGACACAGCATTGGGCACTGGGACACAGCAAGAGGCACTGGGACACAGCATGGGGCATTGGGACACAGCATGAGGCACTAGCACACAGCATGGGGCACTGGGACACAGCATGGGGCACTGGGACACAGGTAGAGGCACTGGGACACAGCAAGAGGGCACTGGGACACAGCAAGAGGCACTGGGACAGAGCAGGGGGCACTGGGACAAAGCAGGGGGCACTGGGACACAGTATGAGGCATTGGAAAACAGCATCAGGCACTAGGACACGACATGAGGCATTGGGACACAGCATGAGGCACAGCATGGGGCACTGGGACACAGCATGGGGCACTGGGACACAGCAAGAGGCACTGGGACACAGCATGGGACACTGGGACACAGCAAGAGGCACTGGGACACAGCATGGGGCACTTGGACACAGCATGGGGCACTGGGACACAGCAAGAGGCACTGGGACACAGCATGGGGCCCTGGGACACCGCATGGGGCACTGGGACACAGCAAGAGGCACTGGGACACAGCATGGGACACAGCATGAGGCACAGCATGGGGCACTGGGACACATCATGGGGCACTGGGACACAGCAAGAGGCACTGGGACACAGCATGGGGCACTGGGACACAGCATGGGGCACTCGGACACAGCAAGAGGCACTGGGGCACAGCAAGAGGCACTGGGACACAGCATGGGACACAGCATGAGGCACAGCATGGGGCACTGGGACACAGCATGGGGCACTGGGACACAGGAAGATGCACTGGGACACATCATGGGGCACTGGGACACAGCAAGAGGCACTGGGACACATCATGGGGCACTTGGACACAGCATGGGGCACTGGGACACCGCATGGGGCACTGGGACACAGCAAGAGGCACTGGGACACAGCATGGGACACAGCATGAGGCACAGCATGGGGCACTGGGACACAGCAAGGGGCACTGGGACACAGCAAGAGGCACTGGGACACAGCATGGGGCACTGGGGCACAGCAAGAGGCACTGGGACACAGCATGGGACACAGCATGAGGCACAGCATGGGGCACTGGGACACAGCATGGGGCACTGGGACACAGCAAGAGGCACTGGGACACAGCATTGGGCACTGGGACACAGCAAGAGGCACTGGGACACAGCATGGGGCATTGGGACACAGCATGAGGCACTAGCACACAGCATGGGGCACTGGGACACAGCATGGGGCACTGGGACACAGGTAGAGGCACTGGGACACAGCAAGAGGGCACTGGGACACAGCAAGAGGCACTGGGACACAGCAAGAGGCACTGGGACACAGCAGGGGGCACTGGGACACAGCAAGAGGCACTGGGACACAGCATGGGGCACTGGGACACAGCATGGGGCACTCGGACACAACAAGAGGCACTGGGACACAGCAAGAGGAACTGGGACACAGCATGGGGCACTGGGACACAGCAAGAGGCACTGGGACACAGCATGGGGCACTGGGACACAGCAAGAGGCACTGGGACACAGCAAGAGGAACTGGGACACAGCATGGGGCACTGGGACACAGCAAGAGGCACTGGGACACAGCATGGGGCACTGGGACACAGCAAGAGGCACTGGGACACAGCATGGGGCACTGGGACACAACATGGGGCACTCGGACACAACAAGAGGCACTGGGACACAGCAAGAGGAACTGGGACACAGCATGGGGCACTGGGACACAGCAAGAGGCACTGGGACACAGCATGGGGCACTGGGACATATCATGGGGCACTCGGACACAGCAGGGGCACTGGGACACAGCATGGGGCACTGGGACACATCATGGGGCACTGGGACACAGCAGGGGCACTGGGACACAGCATGGGGCACTGGGACACAGCATGGGGCACTGGGACACAGCAAGAGGCACTGGGACACAGCATGGGGCACTGGGACACAGCATGGAGCACTGGGACACAGCAAGAGGCACTGGGACACAGCAAGAGGCACTGGGACACAGCATGGGGCACTGGGACACAGCAGGGGGCACTGGGACACAGCAAGAGGCACTGGGACACAGCATGGGGCACTGGGACACCGCATGGGGCACTGGGACACAGCAAGAGGCATTGGGACGCAGCATGGGGCACTGGGACACAGCAAGAGGCACTGGGACACAGCATGGGGCACTCGGACACAGCATGGGGCACTCGGACACACTAAGAGGCACTGGGACACAGCATGGGGCACTCGGACACACTAAGAGGCACTGG